TCTTACAAAATAAGAAAATAAATGCAATAAAATTGAGAGGGGGGGAGAAAGAGTAAGCGAGCAAGTGAGCTTCCATTCTAACCTTTGGTGGTCTCTGTTTTCTCTGCCCCTTTCTGTGTATGAAATCATTCTTGTTCAGGAGGAAGACTCCCATGTGGAAGGACAAGGTGCCAAGGAGGGAACTCAGAGATCACCATGCCTACAGCACCCCAGGGGGTACACTCACACACACCCTTCCCAAGCTCCCGGCGTTGGGACACACTGTCTGCTCTGACTGGAATGCTCCCCTTTTTCCATGGTTCACCCTGGCTGTTTCTTCAGAACACAGTCATCTCCGATGTCTGTCTCCTGGGCCCGGGGCTTCTCTCCTGCCTCCCAGCACAGTGGGACTGTTTGTTTAACACATGCTCCTAGGACGGAAGAGCTACCCCGGTCTTATTCATGGGGGACAGGCACGTCACATGGGACAGCTAACTCTGGGCATAGTCTCTAGCGTGTAGTAAATGTGGAACCCAGGATTGGGTAAACAACTGAAGTTCTTTGTTCTTGGCTTGTGAATGAAGACACGAAGGGCTGGTGGTACAGTTCTGCTGTAAGGAGCCTGCCTAGCATGCACAAAAGGTTTGGGCTGGAGAGATGGCTCAGCGGTTGAGAGTACTGGCTGCTCATTCAGGGAACTGGATGGAGTTCAGCTCCCAGCACCTAACGGTGGCTCACAACCGTCTGTACCTCCATTTCTAGGCAAGCTTCCACTATGAAGGTTGTTTCATACATGTAGTGCACTCTGCCTCCTGACTGCTGGTGTTACAGGTGTGCACCATTGTGTGTGATTACCACAGGTGTAATGCCAATTCCCTGTCTCCTTCTTTCTTCTTCGTGTTTCTGGAAGCAGAGATAGCAGAGTGTAGTTAAATAACATGAACATAGGGAGGCAACTTGATACTGGTTCCCAAGGCCCCCTGTCTATTGCGTCAGTTGTGAAATGGCTGCCTGCTGGGATCTACTGGTCAAACCCTTAGAGAGCATGCTCACATTGAAAGCACCTGTGACTCCTGGAGCTATAGTTCAGGATGCAAAAGTCCCACCTTAGAGCCTGCGTAGGGTGGGTCAGGATAGTCAGAGAGCCAGGGTGTCTGGTGTGGTGGGTACCAGTGTCTCAGGAACGTTCACTGGAGAAAGACACAGGGCAAAGTAGCAAAGGCAGGCAAGGATGTAGACCCCACCTTCTAAAAGGCAGCTTTTGTTGAGTCTGGGGGTGTGGCTCAGTGGCAAGGCACTTGCTTAGCATGAACAAGACCCTGTCTTTAGTGCGTAACACAGCAAAAATAAAGCACTGCCCCACCCATTTTAAAATCATTTTAGATTTAGGGGCATTGGAAGGCAGAACAGAGGGTCCCCACAGACCCTTCACGAGCTTCCCCGACATGAGTTTTACAGAGAGGACCACGGAAGGTTAGTGGCAGCCACAGGATGCCTGTTTCTGGGGCACTATTAACTAAGTCCTGAGTTCCTTTCAATCGCCTGCGTTCTCCAGGCAACATCAGTGGACAGATCCAGGGACCATGCCACATCTGGCCTTTGTGTCTCGGTCCTTCCTTAACATCTTTTGAAGGATGTAGGCAAGTATTGCTGTTACTTTTGTTATCGTCATCATCATTACTATTTTAAAGACAGGGTCTTGTGTAGCCTAGGTTAGTCTTAAACTCCCTACATAGCCAAGGATGACCTTGGACTCCTCCGCCTGCCTCCATCTCCTAAGTGCTACGATTATAGGCTTGTACCACCATGCCAGGCAGAGTCAGTACTTTGTATAGGATTCAGTACAGTTGTGATAATCTGCTAGGGTGAGGGACTTGGCCTGTGAGGCAAAACAAAGTCAGAAGACTACAATCTGTGGGCAAAACAAGGCTACTTCTGCTTTTGTTCAGTCTGCAAGCTAAGAAATATTTCTTTTCGGGGCTGGAGAGATGGCTCAGAGGTTAAGAGCACTGGCTGCTCTTCCAGAGGTCCTGAGTTCAATTCCCAGCAGCCACAGGGTGGCTCACAACCATCTGTAATGAGATCTGGCGCCCTCTTCTGGCATGCGGGCATACATGGAGGCACAATGTTGTAGACATAATAAATAAATCTTAAAAAAAAAAGAAATATTTCTTTTCATTTTCAGAATGGTGAAAAACATTAAGAAAAAAATGATGTCACACATAGGAGTTACGGAGCCCAGATTTCTGGTGACATCACTAAAGCTGTGTTGCCTCACTGGCATGGCCACTCTTTGCTACATTGTCTATGTTGATGTTTGCCCTATACCATAAGTTCTGCGGAACTGAGATAGAGACCACTGGCCTTGAAGTGCTATTTACCTTGGGTTCCGTTGAAGAATTTGCCAGCCCTGATGTGGAGGGTTGAAAGGATGTGGCATTCACTTCAAATCCAAAGAAGAATGTTGCACAAGGAGGGTGGCCCTTTGTTCCATCCCGGCTGCCCGGCTAGCTTGCGCCCAAAATAACCACACAGAAACTGTATTTATTAAATTACTGCTTGGCCCATTAGCGCTAGTTTTTTTTTAAAAAAATTTATTTATTATGTATACAATATTCTGTCTGTGTGTATGCCTGCAGGCCAGAAGAGGGAACCAGACCTCATTAAAGATGGTTGTGAGCCACCATGTGGTTGCTGGGAATTGAACTCAGGACCTTTGGAAGAGCAGGCAATGCTCTTAACTGCTGAGCCATCTCTCCAGCCCCTAGCTCTAGTTTCTTATTGGCTAATTCTTACATCTTAATTGAATCCATTTCTATTAATCTGTGTATCGCCACATGACTGTGGCTTACCGGCAAGATTCTAACCAGTGTTCGTCTCAGGCAGGAGATCCGTGGTGTCTCTCACTCTGCTTTCTTCCCAGCATTCAGTTCCGTCCACTCCGGCTACCTAAGTTCTGCCCTATCAGGCCCAAAGCAGTTTTTTTATTCATTAGCCAATGAAAGCAATACATGAACAGAAGAACCTACTACACCATAAGAACTAGGTGTGGATGGTGGCATGTGACTGTAATCCCAGCACTTGGAAGTGTTGTGTAGTAATTTTCCCCAATGTAAAACCTTCCATCTTGGAGGAAAGTTCACTAAGACATGGGATGTTCCAAAGGGAGGTGAAACTTTCCATCAGTCCTGCAGGGGGAGCTCTGCAGGCTCAGGAAGAAAACAGCCCAAAGGGTTTAGCAAGTCCCTGAAACTGATCAGATTCACTAGGCCCTTCCCTCCCCGAATATATATGAATGGTAAGGCCTGCTGAGTGAAACGCTGGGACAAATGGAGCTGTCCGGAAGAGGCTTAGACCAACTTACATGCCTATTAAGTTGCCTGCAGGCTGTGCAGTAGGCTCCAGGCTCCCAACTTTTGTGAGCTATCACCCATACTGGGGCTGTGGTGATGCAGCTGTCTTTGAGTCATTTCGGTCCCTGTAAGTAACCCCAACAAAACTCATTGGTTCACCAAGTTGGACTTCAGTGCTTTCCTGACTTTGGTCCCTTGTTTGGGTTGAGTAGGCTGTAGTGATATTTTGTTTGTAATCTAACAAATCAAGCTTGACTGAAGATCAGAGTGCAGAACTAAACCACTAGATAGTCACAGAGGCCAGGCAGTGGTGGCACACGCCTTTAATCCCAGTACTCAGGAGACAGAGGCAGACGGATCTCTGTGAGTTCAAGACTACCCTGGGCGACCCAAGATTGAATCTGTCTAAAAGAGAAACAGAGCTCACACAAAGGTGATCCCAGCACTTGGGACCACATGCCTTTAATCCCAACAGCACTAGGGAGGTGGAGACAGGAGTGATATGGCTGGCAGAGAGAGGAATATAAGGCAGGAGGAGACAAGCTCAGATGCAGTCTGAGGATTCAGTCTGAGAGGCAGTCTAAGGTTTCACAGAGAGAGCACCAGTCAGAGGATTCGTAGCAACAGGACCACCCCTTCGGTCTGAGCATTGGTAGAGGTAAGAACTCTCCAGTGACTGACTGACTTACTTCTCTAATCTTTCCACATTAACCCCTATATCTGACTCCAGGGTTTTATTATTAAGAGAGATTAGAATTCACGCTAGAGGAGATGTTTGTTCATATCTCCCCAGAAGTAGTGGCACATGACATCAATTGATGGCCACTTGAACGTGATCAGTTCAAGGTCACCCTCAGCTATATGAGAAGTTAGAAGCCATCCTCATCTGCATCAGTGTCTACCTAAATCCATCAATAAAGAAACAGAAGTTTCTGGGTCTACAAATACTGGGGACCCCTGCTGAGTGGGTACATAGTGATGTTCAAACCGTAGTCCCAAGAGAAGTTAATTCTTGTCAGGACACTTCTCAGTTCTCTGGTACAGTCTCTGCCTGTGATAATAATAGTTGCTGTCGTACTGGGAACGGTACCCTGTGCCAGGAATGCTCTGTCTTCTCCAATCCACACCACCTCCCCAGGAGCTATTCCGGGGCAAAACTAAGGGCTTAGCCACACCCAGGGGCTCAGGGGTGTCACAAGGGCTATAAGATGTCAGAAGCAGACCAGGGACCCAATCTCAATTCTCAGAGCTGGCTGGGGATGGGTGGCCAGGTGGAGAGGAGGGGTGGGCGCTGGGGAGGAGAGGTGGGCGCTGGGTAGGAGGGGTGGGCACTGGGGAGGAGGGGTGGGCGCCGGGGAGGAGAGGTGCCTCTGGAAGACTGCTCACTACTGGTCTGTGAGTTCACAATCTCACAGTAACACACAGCCTCCTAACCAGAAGCCTCATTTTTCAAAAGAACATTTCCAATAAGGTTTTTGGTGTTCAAGTTTCTGTCCTTTGATCTCAACACTCTGTGATCTGTGAGCCTCTTTGCAGTGTCCCATCCCCAGGACCAGTGGGCTCTGGTGACAATGCTGGCCTGTCCTCTCCTTTGCTCAATTGTCCTGAAGCTGCTCACTGACTCTGCCTTGGTCAAATATACTGAGAGACAACACATTCAAGTCACCTGCTGGAAGTGTTCCAGGTAGAAGGGTCCCCTGACTGTGTTGGGACGGGAAGAGTGGGGTACTGTGACTAACTTCGCTGTCCCTGGCTATTTTGGCCTTCCTGGAGGACTGTCCATAGCCAGGACCTTGGGCTTCCTTCTCTATGGCTGGATGAGCATGGTGAGATCATCCCAACTTGCTTTTGCCGGTGACACCAACCCTGGTGGGTTCAAGTGGCACTGACAATTTTGCTCATGACAACCATTGCAATATCTGTAGTCAGGAACTGCAAAAAGTGCCAGATTGGAAAAAGGAAAGTCCTGCCTGGTGTCCAGGCTGCGCTCAATTCCAGTTTTTTGTTTTTATGAGAACAAGTTATTTGCCAGTTTCCTGTTTCCTAAAATGTCCCCAGGAACTTTTTAACTAGCCTGGTAATCTATCTCTTAGGCCCTGAGCAGTTACAAAATCGATTCATAAAGCTTGTGGTTTTTTCCCATGATTTTTTTTTTTTAAAAAAAGAACAAAACATAAACTGGGTTGCAAAGCCCTGGTGACAGACTCCATTCCGACAATCAGGTGCCTGCTGACTCCTGCGGCCTGCCCCAAGGTGGCCACGACACAGCCTGGTTTGGGGTAGATAGTTCTGTTCCTCATTCCAGACTATTCCAAAGATTCTCAGTGTGACAAACTTGCAGCTGCACCCTGAGGAGGGCTGCGTGCATGTGCAGAGACGCAGTGTGATTCTGGGTCTCTCCTTAGGAAGAAGGCTCTAAAAGGATCAGAATCGTCCCTTCGCGCAGGAGAGGTGGCTCGGTGGTTAAACGCACTATCTGTGGGTTCCGTTTCTAGCTCCCACAAGGCAGCTCACACCTGTCTGTAGCTCCAGTGCCAGGGGATCTGACACTCACGCAGACATACATGGAGGCAAAACACCAGCACACATAAAATAAGAATAAAGAATTTTAAAAATGTTTACCTCCCTTCAAAGAGAACCGTCTCTTAATGCTGACATCTGAGGAGAAGGCCCTGGTGGGGTAGGCAGATACAGTGATGGAAGGTACCAGAGGGACACTTGCTGGAACTCGACCTTTGAACTGAGGGAAAACTCGAAGGGCAGGTCATAACACTCTCTTATTATGCCAGCATGCAGGAAACAAAACATCACTGTAAACTCAGAGATGTCCTTAAGCCCCTGATCTTGCCCATCGAGTGCCCTGCAGCCCAGCAGAGGGTGAGGTGGTGAAGCAGTTATATCATGAAGGGGCAGGGCTATGGGGCTTCTGGCCCAGGTGCAGTCGGTGGGACACACGTTGCTTCTGCTTTTTTTTTTTTTTTTTTTTTGGCAGAGTTAAGCATGGCCAGTGATGCTCGTTGGAACGGCCACGCACAACTGCTTGGGTATTCTGCTGAGAAAGAAAATAGTCTGCTACTCCCAGGAGCCCAGAACTGCTCCTCCCAGCCACAGAGGCCAGCAGTACAGACAGCGCTCCAAAGGAAGGGCGAGAGCGGCCCATGAAGCAGCATACACGCCATGAGGAAGGCCTGCTACTGGCTGAGAACCCCCGCCCCCAGTCAAGCTGTTCTCACCTTCACCCACTCTTCCCTTTCACAGACAGTGTAATGTCCAACTGTGTGAATTCCATTGTCTAAGAGAAAGTGGCTTTTAATATCTAAATGTTCTGAAGATTAGGGTGGGGCAGGCGTGTACAGAAAAGGAACACCCCTTGGAAAAGGCACACGTGCGTGCATGTGTGAGCACCTGGAGTGCTTTGTGCCTCCAGCATTCCCAGGGACTTCACTAATTCAACAGTCCGGAAGTCTCGGAAATGGTTAAGCCAAGAATTTCAGTCGCGAATATTTCTGGGGTGATTTCGTCTGGAATTTCTTCTTCGAGGCAGATTTCTGAATCTAGACAGGCAAGAAAAGAAGACAAATGCCTTTTTCAGGGATAAAGCTCCTAATAAGAGGGAGTTCTAAAACCCAAGGGAATGACTCTAGGCCAAAGTGGGAGGCTGGCTGGAGAGGTGGCTTGGCAGTTAACAGCGCTGACTGCTCTTCCAGAGGACCCGGGGTGGATTCCCAGCATCCACACAGTGGCTCAAAACCATCCGTAACTCCAATCCTGCTCTCTCTTTTGGCCTCCCTGGGCATCAGTCATACACACAAGCAAAACACCCATACCCATAAAATAAAACCCTTGAAAAGAAAGAAAAAAGGGGTGTGCGTGTGAGAAGTAGGTACTATTTTGAGCTAAGGGTCACTTTTGACTCTTGGAACCAGTTTACTGAGGAGGAGAGCCCTGTTAACCAAGGTCCTGTCAAACCTGGTTAGACAATAAAAGGAAATGGTGGTGGGGAGACAGGCCAGGAGTCTGTGTCCGTAGTCTCAGGAGCTGTGGACTGACCGCCAACTACCCTGGGCTTGTGGGTAGAGACTTTGCCAGCCGGAGAGGGCCTGGAAGAGCGGTGTGAATTGGCTCTTCCTGAGAGTACAGACACACCAGGGACACCTGGGAGTGGCAACTGCTGAGAAGCAGAGGTGGGACATTCTTGGGGTACAGTGAGAAGAGGAAGAGGAGTTTTCATTCATTTGATGCTGGGGGCGGAATCCAGGGCTTTGGGCATGTGAGGAAAGCCCCTACCATCAAGCACACCCCAAGGCTAGCATGACCTTGGGGAACTCGAAGCTGATGGGGAGACAACATGAAGGCTACAGTGCTCTCCATACAAGTGAGGATCGAGCTCAGATTCCCAGAACCCATGCAGATGCCCATCGATGGAGAGGCCTCTTACAGCTAGCGCCAGGCAGACAGATGGGGATTTGGCGATAGCTGAGTTGTGAGAACCCCTGTCTTCATGAATATAGTAGAAAATGATCAAGGAAGATACATGGTGTTCACTTCCGGCCTCCACACTCATAAACAGACACATATGCAAGCATAACTATTCACATACATGCAAATAAGAACACACATCTGCACATCAGATTCATGTACACATGCAAGAAAAAGAACTAGACGGGTGGGTGAGGTGGCTCAGTGGATGGAATTCCTTGTCACCGAATCTGAAGGCCGGGTTCTATCATCAGGACCTACACGGTGGAAGGAGAGAACATAAACACGTGTGTACGCGCACCCCTCCCCCCCACAAATACACACACACACAGAATATAAAAAGACATAAAAGAAAATGTTTAAGAAAAAGAACTTAGAACCAGATATGGTGCACACCAGTAATCCTGGCACTTAGAAGGCAAAGACAGGAGGATCAGGAGTCCAGGGCTCACCCAGGCTACATAGAGAGACCACTCACAAATCAAAAAAAAAAAAAAAAAAGAAAGAAAGCCAGGCATGGTTGTACATCCATTTACAGCACTCAGGTGGCAGCAGGTGGATCTCTGTGAGCTTGAAGCCAGCTTTGGCCACATAGTGAGTTCCAGGCCAACCAAGGCTACATAATGAGACTCTAGCTCAGAAAAAGAAAGAAAACCAAACACTAGAGAAAGAGAGGAAAGAAATGGGCTGGAGAAATGGCTCAGTGGTTAAGAGCACCAAAGGACCTGGGTTCAATTCCCAGCTCTCACAACTGTCTGTAGCTCCAGCTCCAGGGGATCTGACACCCTCACACAGACACACATGCAGGCAAGACACCAATGCACATAAAATAAAAGTAATAAATTAAAAAACCAAAGAAAGAGAAATAGAGCTTTAAAGTCCTAGTAGCTTGGAGTTGAGTTTGTATGGCCTACCCAGGAGTGGCTTATGTTCACCCACCCAAGCCAGAAGGATGAGCCCAGTGTAATAAAGAAAGGACAGAGGGCTGGGCGGTGGTGGCACACACCTTTAATCCCAGCAGGAGGCAGGGCACGCAAGTGTAGACTACTTAGTGAGTTCAAGGACAGCAAGGGCTACACAGAGGGAAACCTTGTTTGAGAGAGAGAGAGAGAGAGAGAGAGAGAGAGAGAGAGAGAGAGAGAGAGAGAGGGGAGGAAAGAAGGGAGGGAGGGAAGAAGGCAGGGACGGAAGGAGGGAGGGAGGGAAGAAGGCCAGAAAACCGGAAAACACCACAGGAAAAGCAGAGCGGAGTGAAAGCTCTCATCCAGCGGACGCAGCCAAGGCTCACTTCTCTGCCATCGCCTAGTCACAGGATTCCCAGCAGACTGACTGTTGCGTGCAGGGTCTTAAGGAGAGTGGCTTGTACCAGTCGGGAGGAACAAATGCCCTTAAGTCTATAACAAATTAGTGAGTGGTGGCTACAAGCCCAGACAAAGGCCAAGTACCTTTGACAGGGGTGGCCGCAGGCTCGGATTTCCACCCCTCAGGATTCAGGCCAAACAGCGTCGCGAAGCAGTCATACATCTCCTCCTCTGTCATGTGCTCGCCTGGGCATGGGGGAATCAAAGGAGTCTAGTTAACTCTGGGGCTCCATCTCACAGCAGGGTCGAGAACTATGAGATCCTTTTGTCTGTTGTTTTGAGGCTGGGTCTCCTGTATCCTGGGTCTCCTCGGCCTTGCATCAAACTTTCTATAAAGCTAAGGTGATCTTTGAACTCCTGATCTTGCCTCCACCTCCCAAGTGCTGGGATTCCAGATTGGGGCCACCAGATCTGGTTTATGTGGTACTGGAGATCCAACCCAGGCTTTGAGCACGCTAAGCAAGCACTCTACAAATGAGCTACACCTTCGGTCCTTTCCTTCTTCCCGCCTCTGCTTCCCAAGTGCTGGGATTTCAGCTGTGTGCCACCCCTCTGGTTAGAGATCTTTTTTTTTTCTTAATTTTACATTTGTTTATTTATTTGTGTATATGCGTGCGTGCGCGCATGCACGTTGTGTATACCGACGTGGTGCATGTTTGGAGGTCAGAGGACAGTTTCGGTTCTCTCCTGCCACTCTGGGTCTTAGAGATTGAACTCGGGTCCCCAGTCTTAGCAGTCAGCACATTACCCGCTGAGTCATCTCGCTGGCCCAGAGAGCTTAAAGAGATGTACTCTGCCATTTCTTTAGATAGAAAGAGTCCTATTACAGATGGTTGTGAGCCACCATGTGGTTTCTGGCGTGCAGACATCCATGCAGACAGAATGCTGTATACATAATAAATAAATAAATGTTAAAAAAAAGTCCTATTCTGTCACAATACACCCTTATATGATATTGCAGAGCTGGGAGATGCTGGGGCTTGTGGGAAGAGGCAAGGCAATGAAGACTGGGCTCTGCCTTATTTCAGACTTCCTCTGCTCAGACCCATCCTATGTTGGCTGCGATAAAATGTCCCATTTGTCAGATGTGCAAGACAGTACAAGATGGCCCTCACATAGCAGGTAGAAATAGACGTTCACTGTAGTGTAGTTTGACATCCCAAACCCATCCTGACCGTATTCTAGCCCAAGGAGATTGATAAACTGGCAAATACCTCCTCATTTTACAAGTCAAACTGGGTGTGATGGTATATGTCTCCAATCCCAGGTCTATGGAGGTTGAGGCAGGTGGATGGAGAGGCTAGCCTGGGCTACAAAAAAAAAAACAACTCAAGGCTAGCCTGGGCTACAAAACAACAAAAAGCACATGTGAGCATGCTGAGACTAGAAGTCTTGGAGAGTTGAGAGGGAAGCACATTTTTCTTTAAGTTTTTTTTTTTTGCATTTTTATTTATTTTGTGGGTGGAGATGGGGGCATGTGCCTTGGCCAGTGCTTGGAGGTCAGAGTACAACGTTTTCCACCATGTGAGTTCTGGGAGTTGAACTCAGGTCATCGGGCTCTGCGGCAGACACCTTTACCCACTGTGTCATCTTGCTGGCCCATGAGTCACATGGTCCCCATTTCTAGGTCAGGGACCTTCTCATTAACCCACACTTGTCAGATATGCAAGACACTACAAGGTGGCCCTGTCCCACGACTGTTCGTCATGACAGATGGGGACCCCATGTGTCTGCCTCCTCTGCTGGGAATGGCTAGAGGATGTTACCACATGTTACCTTTAGTGAGGAGCAAGTTCAGGAAGTCCTCTCTGCGAATAACGTTTTCCCCTTGGGAATTGGTGAAACCCAGTATTTTAAAGCTCTCCCGGATGCCGGCCATGGTATTTCCGTAAGGCGGCCTATGATTAAGATAAACCTTGAGGAAATCCGGCAGGTTGATTTTGTCGATCAGCTTCCCTGTGTCCACGTACTCGCTAAACTTGATTTCGTTAAACATGTCTTCAATCTAGAGAAGAGACCAGGAAACGAAGCAAAGACTGTGGTCAACACAAAAGATACTTGTTTATGCCACTCGGGAAAGCTGGAGAGGAGCATGAGTCTGTGGGTTGCGTGATGTCCCAACCTTGAAGGATGCTGAAGTCCCAACCTTGGGGACCTTACTAGAAACGAGGTCATGCTGGAGTAGGTGCCTTCCAATCCAGTATGTCCACTGCCGCACCATTACGGCTCGGAGCTGAGCACAGAGTGGTCCCATTCACACCTGTTTCCTCATGGTCAGGAAACAAAATGTGTCAGAATGTAGGAGGAGCCCAAAGGAGTCAGGCCAGCAGCCGTCCCAGGGAGATGAGGCCCTGACGACACTGGGAGTCAGCCCGGCAGCTATCCCAGGGAGCATACGGCACCGATGGCGCTGACTGTAGAAGCTAGCAGAGGCTAAAACTGTTGTGTTGTTAGCACATTCTCAGCCCTGGACTCGGTCTTTAGCATCGAAATAGAATAAACTAATAAATAATTTGTTTGAAGACTTACTTTTTAAAACTATGACCATGCATGTGTACCTCTCTGTGCACACACATATGAGTTCAGGTACCTGTGTCAGCCAGAAGAGGGCGTGGAGTCCTTTGGAGCAGGAGTCCCAGGTGATTGTGAGACCACCTGATGTGTGGGTGCAGGAACCAAGGAGAGGAGGCGGGCGAGCACTCAGCCCCTGAGCCGTCTTTCCAGTCCCTAATTCCTATTGTTTTTAAGCCACCTCGTCTGTGGCACTCCGTCCTGCGCTGATGATGTCACACTGTCCATACCATGGGGACTTATGTCTCTTTCCACCCTGAGAATCACGCAGTAGCTCAACCACTTCCTCACCTGAGAGATATGTGTCAGTTTGTTTTAAGGGTAGGATCTACCCAGGCTTGGTGGTACACACCTGTTTCTCTGTGGTCAGGAAGCAGTGATACTACCATAAGTTCCAGACCAATCTGTGCCCACATTGCAAGTTCTAAGCTAGCCAGGGCTAGATAGCGAGATGCTGTTTCAATAAACAAAAGAGTACTTCCAAAACCATGAAGATAGAATCTAAAAAGACTTAAAACTAAGCTTGGCTGAATGAGTACTTCAATGAGAAACTCAAATATGTGACTTATGCCCTAGTAAATTTCTTTTTTAATTAATTTTTATTTGTTTTTTTTAATTAATTTTTAAATTTGGTATACAGCCAGCTGTGGTGACACATGCCTTTAATTACAGCACTCAGGAGGCAGAAACAGAGGCAGGTGGACCTCTAAGTTCAAGGCCAGCCTGGTCTGCACAGCTGGTTTCAGGTCAGCCAAAACTAGGAAAGAATTCTAAGAAATTCACTAAACCCTATTAGAACTGATAAAAAGTGTCAGTGATATTTCAGGGTATGATATCAATATGTATCAATATGGGAAGAATCAGAACTGGAGAGATGACTCAGCAGTTAAGAGCAGTGGCTGCTCTTGCAGAGGACCCAGGTTTGTTCCCCAGCACCCACGTGGCAGCTTGTTACCATCTGTAACTCCAGTTCTGACACCCTCTTCTGACCTTAGCAGGCACTGCACACACATGGTGCACACACACGAAGGTAAAACACTCACATAACATAAAAGGTTCAATATATGAAAATCAATTGTATTTTTATACATTGAACACAATGAAGATTAAGAAAATAATTCTGCTGGGCCATGGTGGTGCACGCCTTTAATCCCAGCACTGGGGAGGCAGTGGCAGGCGGATTTCTGTGAGTTTGAGGCCAGCCTGGTCTACAGAGCGAGTCCAGGACAGCTAGGACTACACAGAGAAACCCTGTCTCCAAAAACAAAGAACAAAGAAAGAAAAAAAAGAGAAAATAATTCCATTTCTTTTTTAAATGTATGCATGAGTGTGTGTGTGTGTGTGTGTGTGTGTGTTTTAATGTAGGGTACATGTGTGGCACAGGGCACATGTGAAGAACAGAGGACACCATGTGGGTTTGACATTTATCTGTGGAGCCATCTTACCAGCCCAATGATTTTATTTCTAGTAGCATCAAATTCAATAAATACTTAGGAATAATTTTAACAAAAACGGCTTAAGCTCTAAAAACTATAAAATAATGTTGACATTAAATTAAGGGAACGATGATTCCCTTACTCGGCACTTGGAAGACCCAATGGTGTCAGGTGGCTGCACTGACTGCACTCCAGGTGACGATCGGTCACTTGTCTAGCATGTCCCAGACCTTGAGTCCACCCTCAGCAGCACCAGAGACCCCAGCTAGCTTCTTTTGTTATTGTGAAAAGTGACAAGCTGATTCTGAAATTAATACTGCAAGAATCGACAAAATAGTAGAAAAAAGAAGAGACAAAATCGTAGGGATGAAGTAACACACTCCCCGCTGCTCAGTTTGAAAACTCACTGCCGTCCTACAGCCACCAACATGAGGTGGCTCCGGCGTAGGGGTGGACAGTTCACCGAAAGGGATTTAGAGCATGGAAATAGGCCGGCAAGGTGGCTCAGAGGTTAAGACTGCTTGCTGCTCTTGCAGGGGACCTTGCAGCATCTATAATTGGTGGCTCGCACCCTGTCATTCCAGACCCAGCACTCTCTCCTGGCCTCTGTGCACACACGCACGTGTGTACACACACACACACACACACACACACACACACACACACACACGTACCCCGTGATGCATCTATGGAGGATCCAGAGACAACTTGCTGGTGCTAAATTCCTGCTTCTACCATATGGATCTTGGATATTGAACTTACATCATTGGGCTTGTGACTAAACACCTCTACCCACTGAGCCATCTTGCCAGCCACAGACGTTTTGCTGTTTTTAGCCTTAAATTTTATTTTTTTTTATTATTCTATTTGAGACAGGGCCTCACTGAGTAGCCCTGACTTGCCCAGGATTCACTAGGTAGACCAGGCTGACCCAAAACCCTCAGAGATCCACCTGCCTCTGACACCAGAGTGCTAAGATTAAAGACACGGACCACCATGGTCTGACTTAATTTTTATTTTTGCTGACCTAGCTTGCGATTCAATTGCCGCCAGCCAGTCACTCATAACTTTTTTTAATTACTTTTGAAGTCACCAACAAACTAAAGGATAAAATCATGGGCACCTGTCCATTCCTCCACGCGCTGCTTTCTTGAGCCGCCTGGTTTCGTGAAAACACTACCGAAGATGGAAAAGTTTCCATCTCCTGCCTCCCCGCTGGCTCACTCCGCTTTGTTGCGGAGCACGCGTCTCTAAAGCAGGGTTATTTACTTTCACTGTAAGGGTACTTAGAAGAAAACGAGATCGTTTACAACCTGTTGCTCTCAAGCTGTTGCCGGCACAGTTGCAGCCTGCTGGGGCCTCCGCTTTCATTCTTCCCCTTGCGGAATGTTGCCGCCTAGATCCATGTGTCAATGTTGGAGGGAAGAAGGTGCGACCATTTTCCCGGCGTGTGAAGCGGAACTGCTAGATGCTGGCAGCCTGAGCTCTTGGGGAATAGCATTATTGGTTATGAGGAACTGTAACTGAAACTGTGTGCACTGTGTGCGAGGACACTGCTTCCTTTAGCGTTTACCGGGTTTTCAGTTGGCATGGCTGCGCACTATTATATAGGCACAGATTATATAGGATTTTTAATGAATATTAAAAAGAGCATATTAACATGTTGTGCTATATGAATAAATAAGGCAAAAGATGAGTACTATCTGAAGAAAACCTCTAATTTCAATCATTATGAAGATTTATTTATTGTTAGTTTATGTGCATGAATGGTTGCTTGCATTACGTTATGCATATGCGCCATGTATATGACTGGTGACTGTGAGGACCGGAAGGGGTGTCAGACCCCCGGAAACTGGAGTTTCTGATGACTGTGAGCTGTCATGTGGGTGCTGGAAACTGAGCCTGGGACCTCTGAAAGAGCAGTAGGTCATTTTTTTAAAAAAAATTATTATTTCTTTTTATTTTCTGTGCATTGGTGTTTTGCTTGTATGCCTGTGAGGAAGTCAGATTCCCTGGATCTTGAGTTACAGACAATTGTGAGCTGCCATGTGGATACTGGGAATTGAACCAGAGTCAGTGCACTTAACCACTAAGCCATCTCTCCAGCCCCAAGATCAGTAACTCTTCACTGTAGTAAGATCTTAGCCTCTGAGCCACCTTTCCAGTTCCAATTTTTAATGATTTTAATACTATTGGTGCTGAAATGTCTCAGTGGCTAAGAGCACTAGCTGCTCTTGCAGAGGATGGGGGTTTGTTCCCACCACCCACACGGCGGTTCACAGCAGACCATAACTCTAGTGCCAGGGGATCCAATGCCCTTTTCTGGCCTCTGTGGGCACCAGACACACAGGAGGTATACAAATACACATGCATGTAAAACACCCATATACACAAACATTTTTAAATGATAAAATGCAAAATATTTTAATGACTTTAATACTGTTAAGATATATACAACACCACAACTTACTTGGTAGAGAGTAAAGTTAAGGGACAATTTCAGAGAGCAGATCCATCTCCAAATACAACACTGCCACTTTCTGTGTACGGGATCTTGAGTGCTTTACTTATGTTCAACTTTCTTGTCTTCAGAGAGTAGAGCAAAGCACAACACACACACTGGGCAGTTTATGCGTTGTTTAGTCTGGGTTTTATTCTTGTGGGGTTTTTTGAGACACGATCTCATGTAGTCCGAGTTGGCCTCAGTCTTGCTATGCAGCTGAGCAGGACCTTGAGCTTCGACCTCAGAGGCGGGTGTCTGCACGCCTGGTTTGTGTGGCACGGGGTATCACATCCAGGCCTTCCTGCAGGTTAGGTGAGCGCTCTGCCATCTTAGCTACATGCCCAGCCTGTGCTGGGTTGTTTTGAAACATATAAGTAAAGTGTCTGCACAGGGTAGGGACTGAACAGACAGTAATTACACTGTGATTATTATATTTTCTATGTGCTTACTAATTAGAATTCATGTAATTACAATATAAGTTGTAATTCTACGTTA